CTGGAAGCCAGCTCCATGCTAGCGGAAGTAACGGCGGTATCGGTACTGGCGAGTAGGAAAGATAAATATGGGTACTCGTACTATTTGGGTGCATCCCTACTAATTTGTATTGAGATTGTAGTCCATCCCGGGAGTGATCTTGGAGCGGTGACTACTTTACAACACACACAGGGACCATGGGGAACAAAAGTAGCCACCCTCCAGAAGGAAGGACAGTGTCAGCACCAATTCAGAGATGATTTGAGGATCTACAGCCCAGTGATACACAAATAAGATACATTTTTGGTAATAATTAAGGTTCTTGAATATATTTTTTAGATTTAACTCCTGAGTTTAGTGTCACTTTAATTTTAAGATCTCAGTATTTTTTATGTATTTTCAATTCAACCTCTATTTAGAGGGTGCATGTTTGGAAGGAGCATTTAAGGTAGTTTAGTGTATTTAATTTAGTTCTGTTTGCATTTGTTAACTATAACTATATAATCATATAGTGAGGATAATGAGGCCACTTTAGGCTCAAGAATAGATCCAGGGTATCCGGAAAAAGCTTATGTTATCCTCAGATGCCATTTAAAGCCGGTACACCCCTAAAACCACCATCATTTCAACTTCCCTACCGACTACGATGCATTTTGCAGAAAAGTTGTTGAAATCCCTCAGTAATAAGCAGGAAGCAAAGCATGCTTGTGTAATGATCAACTATAAGTACCTCTCACTTTTTTTAGTTTTAGAACGAGTAGGGATGGGTTAGATTCTCTCTTAGGTATTTATTGCTGAGTCCCTACTGAAAAGATTCACCCCTCTCTTTGTCTTGGTGACCACCGTCGCCAGGACAGGGGTAAGGAAAAATTCTACTTTTTCAAGTTGTCACCAAAACAGGAGGTAAAGGAATATCTGGTACAGTGACAACTAGGAGGGTATTTCTTTTCTCCTGTTGTTTTTCTGGGACAGGAAGTAAATATAATTCTTTCCAATGGGACCCAGATGACAAAAAGAAAGTGACAGATGCTTTAACCTACTCTATCTGAAACAAAAACAAATTGTTTTGGCTGGAGAAACTCTTTAAAGAGCTCACATAAGGCTGTTTCAGCCCAAGAATAAATACACTTTGTTACAGCGTTAGAAAGTCACACGGTGATAGTACTTGTTGCTTGGAATTACTCTTTAATGTTTAAAGATGTATGTGGCAATAAAATAACAATAATTATTGTGTCTGCAGTAATTATATACCGAGCAATATGCTGAACAGTCCATATTATCTGTGCATCATTTCTCCTTGCCAGTACAGAAGTGAAATCTCCATGGAGAGGATTGCTGGACAGTGATCCCACCATCATTGAGTGATCTTGATGCAGGGCAGCAGCTGTGGACAGATCTGTTGTGTTAATAGAAAGGTTTCCCCTAATAAAGCTGAACCGAGTACCCTGGGGACAGAGGGTGGGGGCACAGGCTAGCTGAACTCGCCCCTGGAAGTAAGACTCAGACAATATCTCAGACTATCTAATCCTGTGTCGGGAACAAATGCTGATGGCATACAGGCTACAGATATGTCTTTGAAAGCAAGCTAACTATTCCACAGAAGACTGCGCTCCTATGCAAATCTATGTCTAATATATGATCCTAATTATACATAATAATTAGCTAACAGCTGAAATCCAGGCAGATATGTAAGACACAAATTAATACTGCTAAGTATTCTTTTAAAGCAGAACTCTGGGCAGTTTTTAAAGAAGGAAAATGTCTTAGGGGTTTCCTCCTTAACATGCCCCAAGCTCCTCAGTCACCAATACATAAAGAAATACTGCCTCATCAATATGTATGAGGTAGCATTTTCTTTTGAGAAGACTAGACACCTAACACACAGACAGCCGGCTAGGGTGACTGGTCTCCTCAAGATTGCAGGATCACTGGGTGGTTAACCCACAAAGACATGGTGATCCTGATGCATGGTGATAGCCCTGTCTATAGATCTGTTGTGGTAATAGACAGATTTCCCTATTAAAACTGAATCAAGTTCCTTGGGGACAGAGGGTGGCGACGAGTACAGGCTGGCTGAATTCCCCCCGGTCTCAAACTATCTAATCCTATGTCGGTAAGAAATGCTGATGGCACACAATCTAAAGGCATATCTCCAAAAGCAAGCTAAAGAAGTATTGGGGTAGTAAAATATACTCTTCCCAATACTTAGAGCTTGTGTGGGACACTGCAGCTGACACACTTGCCTCTACACCAAAAGCTGAGCGATCATGTAACTGTTGATCGCTCAGCTCACAGTCTCCTCCCTATAGAAAGCAGTGACTGCCAGTCACCGCTCCCCACAGGGATACTCCTTCCCCTCTCTGTTCCTCTAGTGCTCATTTCAGAAACAGACATGGGAGTGGGTGGGCACAGCTGGCTCTGGCTCTAGAGAGACAGAGCCAGCTGTCAATCAGGCAGTTGAGTGGATCCCAACAATATTGTCGGGATCCTTCCTGACTGAGGAACTGCTCTGCACTGTCAGCATATAGCAGGTAGTAGCCCACTATATGTTGACTTTTGGTCACCAGTGTACATTAGTAAATGTACTTCTGTAACCGAAAAGAACAGTAATGCCAAAAGACAATGACAATAACTTTGCGCATCATCAAAGACAATACATGTGCACATCATCAAAGACAATACCTGTGCACATCATCAAAGACAATACCTGTGCACATCATTGTCTAATATATTACCATAATTATCAATAATAAGAGCTTAACGTGACACTAAACTCAGGAGTTACATCTTAAAAATACATTCATGTACCTTAACTATTAACAAAAATGTATCTTATTTGTGTATCACTCGGCTGTATATCCTCAAATTATCTCTGAATTCATGCTGACACTGTCCTTCCTTCTGGAGGGTGGCTACTTTTGTTCCCCATGGTCCCTGTGTGTGTTGTAAAGTAGTCACCGCTCCAAGCTCACTCCTGTGATGGATTACAATCTCAATGCAAATTAGTAAACTAAATGTGAGATTGTAGTCCATCACAAGAGTGAGCTTGGAGCGGTGACACACAGGGACTATGGGGAACAAAAGTAGCCACCCTCCAGAAGGAAGGACTGTCTCAGCACCAATTCAGAGATGATTTGAGCATCTACAGCCGAGCCGAGTGATATACAAATAGGGTACTTGAATGCATTTTTAAGATTTAACCCCTTCGTTTACTGTGACTTTAAAGCTAAAACAAATGGTGAATTTACATTTTTAAATGTTTTGCAGTGCATTGGAAGTCCATTTAAAATAAATAGGTTGCTTAAAGCAGAACAAAAAAATAGCAAGATACACATAAAAGATACAATTAAAAAAGCAGCTTTGGTTGCAATATTCACTTTCAAACCAGAGCTCTCCCCCACAGTACTTCTTTTCTGCCACAAGATGTCCTCAGCCTGCTGGCCAGCATCATGTAACCCACTTCCTCTGAGCCCAGGTAACCCTGGATCTCCCCCAGCCTGTGACTGGACAGTGAAGGAGAAGCAGCACAGCAATGAGCTCATCTCTCTGTCACTCTATGTCCCCTCTTATAAGCAAGCTCCTTGTCAGCATATGATTGGCTCCTTTTGCTGCTTCTTCCTCTCACACTCCAGCCCTGCTAAACAAGTACTGCAGGAAGCTGATACCAGGCCAAATTCATGTATGGACACTGCTTGTATTTAAAAATACATATAACGATGTATTAATGATTACAGAGCTGCATTAATCTGTGTTTATTGCATTTTTGTTCAGATTTAAAGTGTAACTCCACGTTTGCTGAGAAAAAAAACAACCCTTTAAACAAACTTTGTAGCAGATTTTACCTTTCTGTGTTCTGAAGAAATAGCTGTTCTCTCCTCCTGTCCTTTCGAGACAAATCCCTGAATGGGAGGGTCTGGGTTCATTATAACCACCTGGTGCACCCTCAGTGTTCTAATGAGGACAGGTGCAGTGTCGGCATCCCTTTAGAGGTAGTTAACCCTTTAGGGAATATCTCACCAAAAATTACATTTCTGTTGCAGGGGATGCCTAAACTTTTACTTGTACCCAGATAGCAAGGATAACTTGCCACAGACTTGTGGCAGGGTTAAATTGTAATTCTTTCTAACTTGCTGCACACGTTCCTGGCAAGTTGTAGACTTGCAGAACACTTGCAGCACAAGTTCTAGTTGACACTTTTTGAATTTGTAGCAAATTTATTTAGTCCTGCAGATCTTAGCAAGAGCTCTGCAAGTGTACAGCACTTTTGCAAAGCACGTTGATCTGGAGACTTGCAATGCAGATTTGCTGTAATTGTGCAACACAATTGTGAAGCTTGACAAGTCTGCAATAGTTTAGCAAGTCATTTTCAAACTTGCAGCTCGATTGCTTGCTATCTGGGAATTTAAGGTTCCGTTCATCACACTGGGCGTTGTGACATTTCTGCGGCAAGAACCTCAGGATTCTAGCGGCAGGAATCCAAGGTGTCCCTATTCAGATACCTGCAGAAAAAAATGACATGGTGACAGCGGCCGCATCTGTCAGCCCCCATGTAATCGTACACCAACGCCTCCAAGTTGCCATATTGCATTGAACAGCCTTAGAATATGACAGCGGCTTCAAATCCAAACAGAAAAGTAATTTCTAATATCATCACATGTACTAAATGGATCGTGTAGCAATTTTATAATATAGACCATGGTGGGGAAGGAAGAGTCTATACATGGGGATCGGACAAGGATCGTACAGTAGCAGAAAGAAGAGTCTCACAGTCTGGAATGATCTCCGTCAGTGTGAGCCACACTGTGGCTCACAGTCTGGAATGATCTCCGACCGATTTAACTTCTGCAGATGAAGCCCCGGCACATCAGCTGCTCTGACAGGGCACATTGTCAATGCTCATGGCACGTGGAACCGATGTTCTGTGGACACCGGCATCACACACAGTCCCTGGTACCAGCAGCCGTGTGTCACCTGCCTTAGGCCCCGCCCTCTTCTCCCCCATGTCGCTGGTGGGAGGGCGGTAGGCGCATCCTCTGCCCATACATGGTAGCGGCTTCCTCCGCTGAGCGGCGCTGCCCTCCCTCCTGCAGCAATCAATGAGCGAGCAGTCAGCCTGGAGGATCAGTCCGTGGCCGGACACAGCGCAGCATCAACCGGGGCCGCAGCCGGGGGTCCCTACAACATCTCTGCCCTACCCGCCACCCCGGATCTGTTCGGATGTGGCCCCTAACCCCCTGTCTGACCGAGGATGGGCACAGCTGTGTCCAAGAAGAAGGCGCTGAGGAATGACACCATCTCCCATGTAGCAGCCAAAGTTCGGTGAGTACCTGTCTGTTGGCAGCCTGTCACACCTGTCTGCACACTGGCATGGGGTGCCAGGCTGGGCATCGACTCTTGGCTTTGCCTTGCAGTTTTAGATTGCAGGCTCTTGGGCTCAGCCTGCTATTGCCATGCCCAGGGTATCATTTCATCCTGCATTGTGCTCCATCGCCTGCAGCACTCTCAGTCACTTGCAGGGGCACCTGACTTGCCCCAGTCATATGACATAATTCACTGGGTAATGCAGCCCACTCTCCATCTCTCTGGGGTTTTAACTCTCCTTGAGCTGTGATATTAACCCTTTGTAGACCAGCCAGCAGGAAAACCTTGTATCCTTAGATCACCTATACTAGGCTGTGCATGTATCTCATGGCTTATCCAGTACATAATGAAAACACAGAAGAGACAGTGAACTGCTTAATTATAGTCTGCCCCGTGATACATGACACTGGGGATGAGAGGGTCTATGGAGACACACAGCACTGTTTGCTCTGCACACACACACTTTATTACTACTACTTACAACCAAACATTCCCTTTTATATCTCACTAAATACCCAATATTTCTCCACCCGCTGAGTGTCAGGTCACTGCTACAGATATATTCCATTGTATTAAGTCTTTGTTGAGCCTTTAAAAGCCCTGCCAATAATGTCGTAGGAGTATTCCCAAGGTCACCTGATTGGTCAAACGCAGTCGGGTCTTTTGTCGACGTCCCACCTTTTTATTGCCGCTTATTGTCATTTGATTTAAGGAATGTGCAGAAAGTCTATAAACTATGTGAGCGATGTGGCTGTGGAGGAATGTACATCTTATGGAGTATTGGGTGTCAGAACAGGTGTGACAATGTAGGCAGCTGTCCAAGGCGACACTTCGTTTTGGAAGAGGCAGTTACGTGCTTGTACTTTTAATGAAGATTGTGAGGATGTCATAGCAGGGAGCTGCTTGGAGGGTTCAACGTGCTGACAATGAATTTCACAAGTTTAGACGTTGTAAAAGGAAATTATAAGGATTATAAGAGACGGGTGCTGTGAATGAGACTTGTCTGCCTTGATTTTTTTATGTCATGCCGACGTATACATCATCCCTGCTTAACATCAGGACATTTTTTTAAGTTCTACATATCCATAAAATTAAAGATCATTCTTCCTGATTATTTATACATCTGATAAGTCATAGGTATGAATTGTTCACATATTGCTGTAGAGAAAACATTCCATTGAGTGATACATGACAGTATAATATAGGCTGTCTCTTTATGTGTAGTATGGAACCTAATAATGTTTAATATGATGTGTTTGATTAGTAAATGAAACATTGCATACCTTCTTTAAGTCACACTTAAAATAGAATAAATGATAACATAAATTATATGAATCCAGTTTTGGAGAACAATTTTGGTACTAAGCAGATAACTTATGCATGTGGATTTATAATATATGTATGATATGTGTATATGTATGTATGTATGTATGTATAATATTTATGTGTGTATGTGTATGTGTATGTGTATATGTATATGTATATATATATATAGT